CGCGCGGCGGAGGATTTGGGTCGCTCACGTCTGAAGACGATGACGACAGCTTGGCGGAGGAAGTGGATGAGGAGGAGCTCAGCGTTGGCAGTCACTCGTCACAGCGCAGTGCAGGCAGCATCAGCCACCGCAGCAACAGGAGCGACAGAAGCAACAGGAGTGTGCGCAGCCATGGCAGTCGTGGCGGCCGTCGCCGTGCAAGCGACAGCAGCGCTGGTGGTGGTGGTGGTGGTGGTGGTGGTGGTAGTGATGGTGAAGAGAGCGCTGGCAAGAGCGATGGCAGTCTCCACCCGAGCGAAGACGCGCGGCGCTTGCAAGAGATCAACGAGCGATTGGCACAGCTTGAAGGCAAGCGGCGCGTTGGCCCGATAGCTGACGCTGGCAGCGACGGTCGACGTGGAAGTGGTGGCGGTGATGGTGGCGATGACGACTTTGCTGCGCTGAGAGACGATGGTGGTGATGAAGATGATGGCGAGAAGACTCCTGTTCCAGATGCTGACAATGAATACGACTACGAGCAGGACTTTGAGGAGCCATCGTAAGCATTTGCATCTGTGTGTGTGTGTTTGTGTTTGGGTGTGTGCGTGCGTGCGTGTGCGTGTGCGTGTGTGTGTGCGTGCGTGCGTGCGTGCGTGTGTGTGTGTGTGCGTGCGTGCGTGTGGGTGTGTGTGTGTGTGTGGGTGTGGGTGTGGGTGTGTGGGTGTGGGTGTGGGTGTGGGTGGGTGTGGAAGCGCTTTCCTGGAGGAGCAACGTCACTGTTGCAACAATCCTTACACGTAATGTGCCATGCTGCCCTTGCTTGCAGTGATGTCTCCGAGGAGATTGTGACGGATGATATTTCAGAGCATTTCTCCGACCTCTCCATCAGCCACGGCCCGGATTCACATGTATGTACACATCTGATGCACTGAACGTTCTTGGGTTCGCCTGTTCTTCCTGTGTTGTGTTTGCCGGTTTGCCCGGGAGCATGGCCGTTTTTTGCTCTTTGCTCCTGTTACACCCAACACACACACACACACACACACACACACACACACACACACACACACACACACACACACACACACACACACACGCACGCAGGAGCCACGCTCTGATGTGTCTGCGGTGACAGAGGACTTTTCCGTGGATTCCAACGTGAGCGCATCAAACCTCCTCTTCTACAAGAAGGCGTGAAGCACCCACATCCATCTCCATGCAACCCTTCACCCACTTTTGTCATACATTCATACCCGCATTGCCTTTCATTCCCGCCCCTTCCAACGTACCCGCACTCCCACTTCTTCTGCGATTCTTCCTTTCAAGTGGTCAACTTTGAACTGCATTAAAATTGCATCTTGTATGAAGAAGCTTGGAGTCACTCATGATCACAATACCAGAGCGAACGTAGCCAGTCCCAAAAACCAAAATCACGTTTCACACACATTCCACGCATGAGAAAGACAGCACAATGCCATGAAATGACGTGACAGCGAGTGATGACACCAAGACGAGCGAAGAGAAGCGAAATAGCGAATGTCACGCGAGAGCACACAGAAACAACGACAAATACGCTGGCCAATGCTCCTCATTGTCGCCGCATTGGGTATGACAATTCAACGCTGCCTTGCTGTTGTGGTTCGCTGAATCCATCCCTGTGCTCTGCCGTTGTGTGCTCGCCCACCTGCTCACACCACGCACCCTCTCTTGTGGTCACCACCATCCTTATCATTACAATGCGTGGCCTTTTGCGTCTCACCACCACCACCACAACCACCATTATCAGTTGCGCTGTCCATCGCCATTCCCCATCTTGGGCTCATCATCAGCCTCATCGGTGCGGTGGAACAACACTCTCCTGTCCTGCACAGCAGTGATTTGGTCTTTGTTACGTGGACTGTGTTTGTGACTTCACTTCACCAAGCACAGCGCTTACATTCACACACACACACACATTCACACACACACACACACACACACACACACACACACACACACACACACACACACACACACACACACACACACACACACACACGCCACGCTCTGATGTGTCTGCGGTGACAGAGGACTTTTCCGTGGATTCCAACGTGAGCGCATCAAACCTCCTCTTCTACAAGAAGGCGTGAAGCACCCACATCCATCTCCATGCAACCCTTCACCCACTTTTGTCATACATTCATACCCGCATTGCCTTTCATTCCCGCCCCTTCCAACGTACCCGCACTCCCACTTCTTCTGCGATTCTTCCTTTCAAGTGGTCAACTTTGAACTGCATTAAAATTGCATCTTGTATGAAGAAGCTTGGAGTCACTCATGATCACAATACGCAGAGCGAACGTAGCCAGTCCCAAAAACCAAAATCACGTTTCACACACATTCCACGCATGAGAAAGACAGCACAATGCCATGAAATGACGTGACAGCGAGTGATGACACCAAGACGAGCGAAGAGAAGCGAAATAGCGAATGTCACGCGAGAGCACACAGAAACAACGACAAGGAACAAGAGAAAGGGTGAAGTGTGTGTGTGTGTGTCAATGTCAACTGTTGGTTCGTTCGAGTATGCGACAGCGCACGGCGCTTGGCAAACGATGGGAGGGGCAGGGGAAGGGAAAGACGAGGGGAAAGGGGGGGGGGGCGATTATCCGAGACTACAAATCATGTCAGCAACAACAACATTGAACAACGACGCGTGAGCAGGGCGAGCCAGGGGTGGAACAACACACCACCCTGCTGTCACATCACCAATACCAGCAGCACCCCACGCAGCACGACAACTATCAAGTTCAGGAGGGGTTGGTCCAGAAGCGGCGGAAGTTGAAGTACTTGAAGAGGTACTGGTTGTCCTCAAGCATCTGCGAGAGTTCGGGCGTCTCCGGCTGCTCTGGCGGCGGCGGCGGGGCGCGCTGCGCTGCCTGGTTGAAGCAGCTCACGTCGTCGTCGCTACTCAGCTCGGGGATGAACGGTGGCTCGTTCGTCCGGTCCCACGCAACGTCCTGGAAGAAGGGGTGCTCCTGGTGGTGGTGGTGGTTGGACGGGAAGGGACAACGGAAGAAGGGTTTGGGATGAGTGCCACGGTACACAAAGCCAAGTGGACGAAGTTACAACTGCACCTGACATCTCAACACAAACTCCTTCCCTCATGTTACAACAGCAGCAACCATGCAAACAGCAACAACAACAACAACAACAACAACAACAACAACAACAACAACAACAACAACAACAACAACAAAAACAACAACAACAACCACCACTGCCACGAAGACCAACAATCACCACACCACCCGCTTTCGCTGTACCTGGATTTCGCGGACGCCGTTCTTTGTGCCGAGGCGCTCTGGGACGTCGCAGCAGAGGCGCATGATGAGGTCCTTTGCGGCCAGGCCAAAGTGGGCCGTCTGCGGGATCTTGAGCGTGGTGCGCCAGTTGACCACCTTCTCCTTGGTGTGGTCGGGTGACGACCCAACAAACGGCGGATAGCCAACCAGCATCTCGTACAGGATCACGCCCAGCGACCACCTGCATCAGGAGGAAGAGGAGGAGGAGGAGGAAGAGGAGGAGGAGGAGGAAGAGGAGGAGGAGGAGGAGGAGGAGGAGGAGGAGGAGGAGAAGGAGGAGGAGGAGGAGAAGGAGGAGGAGGAGGAGGAGGAGGAGGAGGAGGAGGAGGAGGAGGAGGAGAAGGAGGTTAGGTTGGCTGTGAGTGCACAGGCACATGTGCATGGTCGGTGCAAAACCAAACATGCAACACGAAATCGACACAAACGCACACAAGTACAGAACAGCAGAAGCACAGGAGCAGAGTAGCGACTAAACAAACAAACAGAGCAAATAAAGTAAAAAAAAAAAACACACACAGAGCGAAATAAACAAACAAGCCAAGCAAATAACAAACACACAGAGCAAACAAAGCAAGAAGCACGACGTACCAGTCACAGCAGTGGTTGTAGCCGCGGCGGCTGAAGACCTCTGGGGCAATGTAGTTTGGCGTGCCGACAAGCGAGTGCGCCATGGAGCGGGCGTGGTGCTCCTGCACGAGCCGCCGCCGCGCGCACGCCGCCTGTGCCCACTCGGGACACGAGCAGATGACGGAGCACGTGCATTCCGTCTCAAATTCGCGCAGAAGCGGCTCGGCGGTGCCGTTGTAGTAGCTGCTGTCGTGCTTGAAGCGAAACGTGGTGCACAGGCCAAAGTCCGTCAGCTTGATGTGCCCGCTGGCGTCAATGAGGACGTTGTCGGGCTTGATATCGCGGTGGATAAAGCCGAGCGCATGCACGGAGGAGACGGCCATGACGAGCTCCGCCAGGTAAAAGCGAGCAACGCTCTCGGGGAAGTAGCCCGCGCTCATCAGCAGGCTCATCAGATCCCCGCCCTGGTCAGGAGTTGGAAGAGGCGAGACGGGTGTGAGGCAAGCGGGCGTGAGCGGAGGCGAATTTGTTGATACAAGCATTCACACACGCACGGTCATTCATTCACACACAGACACAGACACAGACACAGACACAGACACGCACTCACACACACACATCACACACATCACACACATCACACACAGACACACAGACGCAAGCACACACTCACTCACACACACACACACACACACACAACAAGCATGGGAGCGTACTGGGACGTATTCCATGACAAAGTAGAGGTGTGTTCTGTCCTGGAGGGCGTAGAAGAGGCGGACAACCCACTCGTTGTCGGCGTCTGCGAGAATGTCGCGCTCCGCCTTTACGTGCGCGGCTTGCTCGTGCTGCAACACCGTCAGCTTCTTCATGCTCTTCATGGCGTACACAAAGTTGTTCTCGCGGCTGCGCACAAGTGACACCTCCCCAAACGCGCCGCGGCCGAGCGGGCTGATGCGGGTAAAGTCGTCCAGCATGATGGGCAGGCGGCACAGGCGCAGGTACTCAGACTCTTGCGCAATCAGCGCCGCTGCCACGCGCTGCCGCTGCGCGTCGCTCAGCCCCTGTTTCGCCATTTCTTCCTGCAGTTTTCGCTCGCGGAAGATGCGGGCGATGCGGCGCTTCTGCATGTAGTTGAAGTGCTGCTCGATGCAGAACTTGGCTGCAGTCGCCTTCTTTGCCGTCGCCGCAGACGCGCGCACGCTCGACGTGTCTGGCGGCGCAAGTGTCTGGGGCGTGTACAGTGGGGCATCGGCGTGGACAACAATGCTGTCTGTATAGCCGTGGTGGCAGCGACGTGCGTGTGCACTGGAGCTGGCGACGGATGGGGCTGCAGACGAGACTGTCGCGGTGGTGTCTGTGCTCGTGTCCATGGTGGGGGCGGAGGAGGCGCCAGAGGACATGGACGAGTGCATGGGCATGGATGACGGAGCAGCAGGCGACCACTGGCCATACACCGGCTCCTGACCCATCCTATAGCCCACCGCCCCAGACATGGCCGCATGTGCTGGGTGGCGGTGTTGTTGTTGGTGCTGGTGAAAGTGGAGGCGATTGCTGTGGTCATGGTGGTGCTGACAGTGATCGTCGTCATTGCCGTCATCATCGTCATCATCATCATCGTCGTCGTCATCGCCATCATCTCGTGCGTCCATGGTGTCGTCGACGGTTTGATAGTGATGGTGTTCAAAAGCTTTCGGGCACACATCGTCCTCCTCAGCGACAGGCATCAACCCAGCATACACGTGGTGTTGCTGTTGCTGTTGCTGGTGGTGCTGGTGTGGAAACAATGTGGAAGCGTGCGGGGAGGGTGATGTGTGCGATGCGGACAGGGAGGGGGCGGATGCGGGCGACGATGCCGATGTGCGGGATGCGCGCGTGTGTTCCTGCGGCAGCGTCGAGGATCGTCCTGCTGCCACGCCGCGCTCAAGCTGCGCCGTGCGGTCGGTTGGCAGCGGCATGGGCTGCACGCGCGGCAGCGGATATGTGGTGACGTGGTCCAGCTTCTGCTGCATGCGCTGCATCACGGCCTCCATGACCTGCATGTCGCGCTTGCGCTGCTTGCTGCGCAGGGCAAACGAGGGGCGGCGGATCTGGGGGATGGTCTTCATGGCTTGCGTCATGGCCACGATGCCTTGCTCAAGATGCGTCTCGAATGTGCACTGCGGCGCCTGTTCCACCACCTGGCTGGCAATGGACTGCATGTGTGTGTGTGTGTGTGTGTGTGTGTGTGTGTGTGTGTGTGTGTGTGTGTGTGTGTGTGTGTGTGTGTGTGTGTGTGTGTGTGTGTGTGTGTGTGTGTGTGTGTGTTGGTAGTTTGGGGGTTGGTTGGGTGAGTGACAGCGCAGCAATCGTTTCTGGAAAAGGAGAGGGGACCGAGAACCACCACCACACATATGCCAGAGCAAGGTGCATGCAGTGGTGATCACTCGTACATACAGAGGCGAGAGCGCGCAAACACACAGACACAAAGGCGCATACACGCACACGCACACACACACACACACGCACATAGAGGCACATACACGCAAACACACACAGACACACACAAACACACACACACACACACACACACACACACACCATGTCGACTAGAGGAGCACACGTAATTAATGAGTTTGTTGCTATATACTTAACTATGTCACGAGATTTGTGCTAGGTCAGCCTCACCGCTTGCCGAAACATCGAACGCTGGTAGTCTGGTCCTAAGTTATGTAACTCTGACTTGGCGTAATCCAAACTCATCCATGAACGAGACTGACTGTGAAGCGATTTGCGAGACTGCGCCATACACGCAACAACACACAGACACACACAACACAACAACACACACACACACACACACACACACACACACACAAAGACAACACCCCATGTGCAGACCTTATCGATGCCGACTCTGTAGAGACGGTCAATGCGCTTCTTGATGGAGCGTGGCGAGGGCGGCGGGAGATCCGAGTGTGTGTTGATTAATGACAGCGAGGGCGTGTGCCGTTGCCCAGCCTCCGAGGCCTGCATGGCGGCGGTGGCGGTGGCCTTGATGGCGGGTACCTGGACCGTGGTGGGGTGTGGAAGTTGTCACGAGCGGCTGCAGTCGCCCAATGCCAACACCAAAGCAAGTGCGCTTTGTTTCGTGCCTGGACGCACGCACACGCACACGCACACGCACACGCACAAGCAGGCGGCCGCGGCGGCGAAGGAGAAAGTGGAAGGGCGAGGCGAGCAATTGAGGGTGGAGGAACAGTCGTTGTGAGCGAGCTGGCCGGCTGACTAGCTGGCTGGCTGGTTTCCGTTTGTTTGGCTGGCCTTTGTTTGTGCTTGTGGCGGCGCGACGGTTGCCACTGGTGTGCCTGACTTGTTGCTGGTGGTGGTGTTGGTGATGATGGTGGTGTTGCCACTGCTGTTGTTGTGCGGGCGGGGCTTTGGGTCAACTCGTGGATGAATTGGCTGAGATTGGATTGGATTGATGGAGTTGGATGGATGGATGGACTGGTGCAGTGTTCGGATTGTCAGTGAGCCGAGCCAATGCCAGGCAGGAATCAGCACTCAAAAGCGGCTGCGATCAATGAATGGAACGGTGCGCGGCAATGGTAGGGGAGTTTGCGCGCGCGCGCGTGTGTGTGATGTGCTGCAACGGAACTCGAAGCACGGGTCGCGCACGTGTGTGGGGGGACGTGTGTAGGGGGACGTGTGTAGGGTGTCGGCAAACGATGGCTGCCGTTGGTGTTGCTGCTGCTGCTGCTGCTGCTGCTGCTGCTGCTGCTGCTGTTGTTGTTGTTGTTGTTGTTGTTGTTGTGGCGATGGTGATGAGACGGGTGATGGTTCGTGAAAAATGGATGATGGGAAGTGAGCGGGCGTGTGTAGGTCGCTAGGAGGAGAAGAGAAGGGGGAAAACAACGAACAGTGTGTTGATTGGAGTGTGCGGTGCGCGCGCACACACACACAATGGATTGGAATGACACAAGAGGGAGGGTGCGTGTGTGTGTGTGTGTGTGTGTGTGGATGTGTGCGTGTGCGTGTGTGTATGCGTGCGTGGGTGCGTGTATGCGTGTGCGTGCCACTCAAACAGGGAAACCAAGGTAGGCGACACGAACAATCAATGTCATGGCAAACTGACCTTGTGTGTAGGAAGACCAACAATGGCGAGTGTTGTTGGTGTTGGTGTTGGTGGTGGTGGTGGTGGGATGGGCGGCAAACAATGCGGCTCAAATGGGAATGGGGTGTGTGCGTGTGTGTGTGTGGTGTGGGAAGGGGGCAGAAGAGGAAAGGGAACTGGGGGTGGGTGGAAGGAGACAAAGAGGCGATATGGCGTGTCGCGGGTGGGTCACAACCTCCAACCAATCAAGACTATTGTGTGTGTGTGTGTGTTGTGTGTATGTGTGTGTGTGTGTGTGTTTGTGTGCACTCGTGGCCAAGAGAACCAAACAAACAGACGACACACGGAATAAACACAAGACACGCAACCAATTGTTGAATGCAAGCAACCCAGCCAGTGTTTAAAGAAGAGCAACGGGTGTGTGGTTGGGAGCAAGTGAACCCCTACACGCGCAAGTCGGAGAGTTTGAGGGTTTGGGAACCCTTATGAGCACAGGGTTGGTTGGAATGTGCTGCGTGTGCCTCGTGTGTCACGCTTTCGCACGCGCGGCAGCGGGGGGAGGGAAGCAAGGACAAAAAAAAAAACAAAGCCAATAAGGGCGAGAGGGAGCAGCGCACAGCAGAGCCGAGAAAGGAAACGGTGGCAGCAGTGCTTTGTTTGCTTGCGCTGCTTGCTGTGCTTTCTTGCTCGCGCGGTCGGTCGGGCAATTGTGGGGGTGTGGCTGAGCAACCACCCAAAGTTGCAAGGCAACGCCAGCCAACCAAGAGAAGCGAAGCGAGCGAAGGCAACGACAAAAACAAAACAACCAAAACAAAACAAAATAGAACAACGTGCGTGTGTGTGGGGCATTGATTCGCGGCAGAGAAACTCGAGCAACGACTTGGTCGGAATGTGTGTCACACACACACACGCACGCACGCACGCTGAGCAGCAGCACGCCAACAATGCCACTGCTGCCCAACCAAGGAAGGAGCGATTGTTTGCTTTTGCACACCTGCATCCATTGGAAGAAACTGTGAAGATGCCCACAAAATATCAGCCGTCCCGGATGATGGCGAAGCGGAGCGAATTCGGGCGAATGCGACGACGAAGTACTTTGGAAAACAAACAGCACAAATTGACGACTGAGTAACGACGACAAGCGACAGCCGGAAACATGAGCGAGGTCGTTGACTGTTGTGGATGGACGGATGGATGGATGGATGTGGGTGGTTGCAAACTGGCTGGGATGTGGGTACCCACCCCTCCCACCACACACACTCATGCACACACACATATGCACACACACACTCATGCACACACACACACTCATGCACACACAAACACACACAAATTGCAGTCGAACAAGGCCTCTGCTGGCACCTCCAGTGCAAGCATCCCCATGGTGATTCCAAAGCAAGGACCAGTGTATTCACAACCAAACGTCAAAGCACCGGTGCGTGCATGCGTGTGTGCGCGCGCGTGTGTAAACATGTATGTATGCACTTGAACGTGAACGTGTGTGTGTGTGTGTGTGTGTGTGCTTGAACGTGAACATGTGTGTGTGTGCTTGAACGTGAACATATGTGCGTGAGTGTGCATCTTCAACCCACCTGCCATGCCTGCCGACTCGCCTGAGATCGCTTCGTTGTTGGATTGTTGGTGACACCTGCCATTACAACCTGTCACCCTTCTCAAACCTACCTACGCCCACTTGTTTCGTTGCTGACACCTACAACCAGGTCATGTGCAAGCCAAAGATCATGACACTCAAGTCTGCGGCGCTGCTGAAACAGGAGGAGACGGCCAAGCAGGCGCAACAAGGCCGCCCAACGACGGGCGCACCCGCAGCAGAAGAAGAACAGCACGAACAGCATCACGAGTACGGCTACGCATAGCCGCAACCGCAGCGCCGAAAACAGGGGAACCATGATTTGTTGTTGACGTGGCCGCCCCTGATGCATGCGTTCGCTGTGGCTTGCTTGCTTGGTGGTGTTGTTTGGTTGTTTACTTGGCACGCAGCCACGACCGGGCACTTGCTGCCATTGCCGTGACGGTTTTTGAGGACAAACCCGAAGTGGGGTGAGGTGAGGGGTTAACGAAACGTGCAGCATCATTTTGGTGTGCGCTGCCTGTTTGCAGTTCACTGCTTCTGGAACAAGTAAGTGGGGTTGCGCATTGCCTGAGGATAATAAATGAACCACATAAAGACACAAAGCAAGCGTGGGTGTATGAGTATGAGCGCATGTGTCAGTAAATGAGTGGGTATAGAAGTAGGGTTGGTGTTGAGAGATCTCACAAGCAAAACACAACAGAGTCACATCACACACAACCAACAGAGGCGGATAGACAGACACACAGCCACGTGCATGCACGCACGCACGCACAAACACGCACGCACGCACGCACGCACGCACGCACACACACACACGCACACATACACACACAGACGCACGCACACACACACACACACACACACACGCACACATACACACACAGGCGCACGCACACACACACACACATACACACGCACAACGTTCACACCTTGAACTCGAGGTTGTTGCCGCTGGGGTCCTTGAAGAACATGGTCTTCTGCTCGCCGGCCAGCCCAGGAAAGCGCACGTGCGGCTCAATAATAAACTGCAGCCCCACAACAAACGTGCGCACACAAGATAGAGTGAGCTGGTTGATGCCGCACGTGGGCGAAGAAGAAATGAAAAAGAAAACAACGCAAGCAAACGGAAACAAAGACAACAGCAACCAGATGCAAGTAGTGGGGGCATGAGCAGCACGTGAGAACACCTTCACATTGTGCTGCTTGAGGCGCTCGGCAAGGCGGTCAAATCCCTCCCAGGACAACACAGCCCCACTTGCACACGCGGCAGGTGATTGGATGCAAGCAGAAAGCGCAATGATATGGCCGTCAGATGAGTGCAGAAGGCGGCAACATTCGAACACGCCACGTGCTCTCAGCGATTCACATTGAAACGAGCAACAAGCATGCGCACAAAAGCACACGAACAAAAGCACGCGCACAAAAGCACGCACACAAAAGCACGCACACACTCACTTACACGCGCACACAAACACACAAACACACAAACACACACAATCACTCACAAGTGAGGAACTGGAACGTCGTGGCCGTCGACCGGGTTAAAATGGTCCTTGGGGAGACTGTCGGAGCGGTGGGCCACAATCTGGTGCCCAAAGAAGTTGTAGTCAACTACAAAACCCAAAAGTTCAGCAATCAGCACTGTAAATGAGAGGTGTGGCAACGCATTCAGTCACACAAGCAATCATGTGTACCCACGCGCTAAAAGCACCCGCGACGCACAACCAAAGCAATGACTCAAGCAAAGCAATCACTCAACTACGTGCAGACATGAACCCTCGCGTTCGCATTCACTCATTCGCTCGCTCACCCCAATCGTCAGCAGAGCGGCCCTCCTGAAGAACAGCAGAGGCATCCAACAAGGCACACCACGGTTGGCATGAGCAAGTTGAAACCAAGCAAGTTGAAACCAAGCAACCAGTGGCACAACACGGTTGGCATGAACAAAACCAAGAAAACACAACGACGCTTGAAATGAAGATGTGCTTTGTCACATTGAGCTCGTACCTCGAGGCCAAGCACGCCGCCGTAGAATTCCCTCGCAACATTCACATCGTGCACTGGCAACCGCGCAGGGATCACAAAAGAAGTGCCAACGCAAAACGCATGTCAGCGCGAGCCGCAACTGTCACGCATGCACAGACAGACAGAGAGAGACAGAGAGACAGAGAGACAGAGAGACAGAGAGACAGAGAGAGACAGAGAGAGAGAGAGAGATGTACGAAAGCATGCGCACATTCACACACACACATACACACACATACACACACATACACACACACACACAAAAGTGCAAAAACATGTCCACACACACATCTGCATGTGCGAACCTGGGAAAGCGTGGTGAAAGGGTGGGATGTCGGTGTTCCCAGTGGCTGGCGGCGACACAAAGGCCTTCCAATCTGCATCACTGCCACTGCTGCTTTCCTGTTTGCTCATGGCCGCTGTGCTGTGCGCGTGAATGCGACGTCTTTGTTCCTGCTGCTGATTCAACGAACACACGATCGAGTGCAATCGTGGCTGGAGCACTTGCGCTGTCGATACCCGACCTTGACACGCACGAATCACACCACTGTTGAAGCTGAAGCTGAAGCAGGACGAGACATGGCACACACCACGAAGCATCGTCGTCCTCACAGTGCCGAAAATTGTCGGCGTCACCCTTTAATCTTCCCAACTTGCATCGAACAAATCAACACTGCTTCACGAACGACTGCCATCATCATCATCATCAGTGTCGCTGCGTGGCCTGCACAACGCCGAGTGAAGCTTGTGGCCAGGGATCACCCATACGCTTAGCTGCCACACGCCCGACCACGTGAGTGACGCTGGTTCGCTCGTGCGTATGTGTGTGCGTGTGTGTGTGTTCGTGTGTGTGTGTGTGTGTTTTTGTGTTTGTGTCTCGCTTACGCGCTGGGAGTTCGGAACTGGACATGCGCGCACACACACACACACATACACACACACACACACATACACACACACACACATACACACACACGCACACACACACACGCACACACTTGTCTCTGCTAGTGTGCTGGTGGTAATGCAGGCGTTTGCTGCGGTACTGTTCTCACGGTGCTCACGCACACTTTGTTTGTGGCGTGAACATCTCAGGTGTGCCTGGTTCGCGGTCAATGACGGTAGCTAAATCAACATTCGCTACAAGTGTGCGCTAAGGAAACGCCCTGGATGTCGCAACTAGCAAGCAAGAAGCGCACACTCGCGGACATGCTGTAACGTGTGCTGTACCATGTGCAGCCTGGCTCCAGCACTCACCCGTAGCGGTAAGCACATGCATGATTCATCACAAACACTTCTGTTGGGTTTTGCCACATACACCGGTGATTACATGCCATACTCATTTCCTTCCTCCCCCCCCCTTGCATAGCGAGAAAGCGAGGCAGTGAGACAATGAGACAATGAGAAGCAGAACCCCGTAACATGCAGCTCCATGCCCTCAAGCGCGCAACATACACGTGCGCGCGCAGCAATCCTCGCCTCTCAACACCTCAACCTTAATCTTCGTGCCACCGTTCAACAACCTCATGCTGGTTTGCAGCAGCACTCGTGCTGCAACACAGTAGTTCTTCCCTCCTACACCCTGTTTCCATTTGATGGAGACTCTTCACTTGGTGTATGGAGGCCCCGAAAGCATAAGCGTCTGTGCCTGAGCAGTTGCGCCTTCACATGCAGTCACAACCGGGTTGGCTTTCGTTGATGCCGAGGCACACGCCACGCCGCCATGCATTTTGCTCATCATGGCTCTCAAGAACCACGTTGGCACCAACATGCACTCAACTGCCAGCCACCTGATGTCGCCAAGCAAGTCGGTATGTGCTACGATTGCAGTCTTTGCGCACGCCACACAACACAACCACAAACCACGCATTCGTGCGTATTCGTGTTGTGGACTTGGTTGCTTGGTTACCTTGTTGCTTTGTGGCTCGATTGCGTGGTTGCTTGGTTGCTTGGTTGGGCGCGCCGTATTCGCGCCAACCTCATTGGCCCCAACACCCAAAACCGTTGCGTCCGTGTCACGCCAATAGCATTTTTTTTTCCTTTCGCGCCACATGGTACCTCACCCACACGCTTTCTCTGTTGTGCTGTGTTGTGTTGTGCGCGCCATCGCTTTCTTGCTGCATGTGTGTGTGTGCGTATGTGTGTCTGTGTGTGCACATCTGCTACTTTTGTTCAGGGACGCTAGTGTGTGCGGTCGTTCATTTTCTCTGTAGCACCAGCACTCCTCGTCCGCCCGAGAACCACACGTTCACCTGAACAACATTACCATCTCAGCCTCCGTCCTGCCACTACCTGCAACCGACTACACCCGTCCTCCCCCCTCTCCTCTTCCACCTGCTCACTGTCCAATCCAAGCAAGCAACACGTCAGCACGTCCAGATCACCACCAAATCCCTCGCTGCTCTCGTTTCTGTTGCCCGGTTTCCACTCTTCAGTCTTCGACGAACCCTTCTGCCCGCTTCTTGTATGTGGTCTCGCACATGTGCATGTATGCATGCACGCATGCATCCATATCTGCTGTTGGCTACCGCCTTTTCGCGTGCACTGCGCCACCCGTACCACCCTGTTGCCCGCCTGTGACCATGTCTCCTGTCTGCCGGATAGTCTCCTGCCCACGCAAGTGCTTCCTCATCATTTCATGGCCCAACACCCCCTTCAACATCATCACCACCACCACCACCACCACCACCATCATGATCATGGTTGCTACAGTCCTTGACCACCGCTACCGCCACCATGTCCTTCAACGCCGCCACCAACGACCGCTGCTGCAACGACAACGGCTGCGACAACTTCTGCCTCTGCGACGAATGCATGGTGCACGAAACGGACCACCACCAACAACAGCGACAGCAGCAGCGCTGCCGTCGTGATCGCTCTCGTGGTCGCCCCCGCTACCGCACGCGCGGCCGTCCGTGGACCAGGCAGCCACCACCTGTCAGCGAGCATGATGCGAGCGGTGAGACCCTTTGCGTGCACACACACACACACACACACACACACACACACACACACACACACACACACACACACACACACATCTGAACTTTGATATGCATGCATGCATGCATGCACACACACTCACACACACACTCTCTCTCGCACAAGCACATATGCACAAACTTTCTCGCTCACACACACACACATGCATGCATAAACGCATTCACATACACATATGTGCAGACTCCTCTGAAGGCGCCCAGGGAGTGCAGCCGGCACGACGGCCCGTGCGACAGCAGCAGCAGCCTCGCGTGCAGCCACCGTCACCGCCACAACCAAAGCCACAACGCAATCGCAAATCAACGGCCCGCGCACAGCAATCCACTGTTGCCGCTGCCGACAACAATGACGACAACAAGCGCAGTGGCGGTGGTGATGGCAGAGGTGAGGTGACGCGACGACGGCGGCGCACACGTGCCGGCCGCCCGCCTGTGCCGGATGGGCGCTCATCGCCAGCGTTCTTTGCATCGCAGCAGACAGATCAGCCAAGCGGAGCCGTGGATGATCTCGACATGGAGCTGCGGCCAACAGCGTCGTCGCCAGTGCTGCGTGCACCTTACACGCGTGACGCCCGTCGCGGTTGCGATGACAATGGAGAAGACGATGGCGGCATCGAGCCATGGCCCCTGAGGGTCCGCCGCGCAGAGCGCAGAGCAACAGGCGAAGCAAGCGCGCGAGACGATGACCTGCATGACGACCTCTGTGACCTGTTCGACCGGCGGCCCCGCTACCGCCCCCGCTTCCACCACAAGAACGACCCCACTTCCAGTGGAGACGGCCGCGTGGGCCGTATTGGCGTTCCTGCGACCACGACAACAGTTGATGTTGGCGGCAGCGCCCAGACCGATGATGGCGATGGTGGCGACGACGGCATAGGCAGGGATGGTGTGCTGTCCGTTATGCGCAAGCTGGGCGTGTTTGCACTGGAATCGGACGCGCAGAGCAGGCTGTCGCTCTGGAAAGCCCACGTCAGCGAGCGTGAGCTGTGGACCCAGGGCGTGCTTGGAGAAGTGTGCAGCAGCTTCGCCCACAGATACACGGCTCTCAGCAAGCACGACCGCGCACAGGCCATGAGGGCTGCAGCCAACATGCCTCGCTTGTCTGTCGACGACCCCTCCGTGGCGGCGTTTGTGGAAGCCATGTGGACCACGCTTGGCCCTGCAACCCACGCCAGCAAGGACACGCTGCCGGTTGGCGTTGCTGCTGCCGACACGGTGCCGCCGCTTTACGCGGCCGTTCGTCGGACACACGGAAACATGGCCACGCTCGTCAGGGCATATGCGCCGCACCAGTACGAGCACCGCCGCCATCATGGGCAGTTGGAAGCGCGCTGGCGCGAGCGGTGGCGGTATTCGTTCACGCTGGAGCAAGGCGGTGACGCGCGCGTGCTGATGAACGACGACATCACCTTCTGGTCCATCGTGCGCGCCGCCAACTCGCCACACACGCCGTGGCTGTTCCCGTTTCTGCTGCGGGGCGACCCGCCCTCGACGTGGGTGCTGCTTGACCTGGTTGCCCTTGTGATGTGGCTCATGCACTATGACCGGCGCAAGGTCAACGTGAAAGCGTACGACGTGCGTCCATTTGTCGGACTGGATGTCCTGGCGCAACTTGAGCGGCTGGAGGCGCCGGCACATCAAGGCGCTTTCCGACGCCTGGACACAGATGGGACCGATGCCATACTTGCGCTGCCGCCCACGCTGCATGACACGCATTGCAACAACAGCGACGGCGGCGACGCTGATGGTGAAGAGGACGTGTTTGTTGACGCCTTGGACGCGCTCACAGACGCGGCTGCAAACAAGAGCAGCAACAACAAGAGCAGCAAGCATCGCAACAGTAGCAGCAAAGGCATTGACATGATGGACATGGACACCTTCCTCGCCCTGCCCCCACTGGAACGCGCGTGCCTGTTCATTGGGGCCTTGGTGTTCCTGATCGCTCTGGTGCATGCGGCTATGGCGCTGCTTCTGCGCCTGGGTCAGGTGACACTGCAAGCCACGGGGTTTCTGGACGCCTGTTCACCCGTCTGACGAAGATTGCACAGGTTCTCACTGGGAATGGGGATGATGGAGGAGGATGAGGAAGAAGAACGGCGTGCCTTGCCCTGGGTTTGGTTGGGATCTTAATGTGTGCGCGTGTGTGTGTGCGTGTGTGTGTGTGTGTGCGTGCGCGCGTGTGGGGGGGGATGAGGGCGGTGGAGAGTCTGATGTTGTAGTGGTGTGACAACATACCGTGTCCTATTGCGTTGAACGTTTGCCAATGAAGACTGACCAAAGTGGAGAAGTGAGAGTAAGGAGGAGAAATGTACTTTGAGTTCATGCACACGCAGACACACACACACACACACACACACACACACACACACACACACGCACACACACACACACACACACCGTCGAAATTTGTGGATGTGATGCCCATTCTTCCCAACTTTGGCTGCCAATCACACACACAAACAAAAACAACAACGATGAGCGAGCTGTGCGAGGTTGGCAGTGCACAAAAGTGCTTTGGTGGGGTGTTGAAGCAGTTCTCGCATCACAGCGAGGTCCTCCACTGCACCATGACCTTCTCCATCTACTTCCCCAAGCAGGTTTGGTGGTATGGTGTCTCAAATAAAGCGAGTGTGTGTGTGTGTGTGTGTATGTGTGTGCATGTGTGTGCATGCGTGTCTGTCTGTTTGTCTGTCTGTGGTGATTGTGATTGCGGTGTTTGTGCGTGTGGAAGATGTGAGGTTCCATTTCTGACGTGAAACAACGCTCCACAGGCAACAAAGGAGTCAGTGCCGGTGCTGTACTACCTGTCAGACATTGGCTGCGATCACCTGACAGCAGCAAAAGAGGTATCGTACAAGAGCACACAAACCCTTTGCTGCTGCCGCAATCATAAACGTTGATTTCCTCACATGATGGGACTTGACCCACGAACTCTTAAACATACATGTACATGACATCACCCACACACATGTACCTGAACCATGTGCAGACTGGCGCACAGCGGTTCTGCACAGAGCACGGCATCGCCATGGTGTTTCCAGGTACGTTGAAACACTGCGCAGCTACATCGTGTATGTGTGTGTGTTTTTTTTTTTTTTTTTTTTTTTTTTTGTGTGTGTGTGTGTGTGTGTGTGTGTGTGTGTGTGTGTGTGTGTGTGTGTGTGGGTGTGGGTGTGTGTGGGTGTGGGTGTGGGTGTGGGTGTGTGGGTGTGGGTGTGTGGGTGTGGGTGTGGGTGTGTTTGTTTGCGGCATGTGGGTCTTCGTACTTTTTTTGACAGCGTTCATGGTCTTCTTCGTGCCCTTCAACGTCCTGCAGATACTGGACCCAGAAACACACCCATGCACGATGAGGGCTCAAATCAACAGCTGCTTGAAGGTTTGTATGCGTGTAGATCCTACCACGAGCTCGGTGAAACACAGCTGCAGTGAATATGTACACACACACACACACATATGTAACTAACACGTGCCCATCATCTCATCAAACACAAACACACGTACACACGCATGCAAACATTGCTGTCCAGGCGCCACGTTCGTGGCCAATGCCACCCACGAGGACTGGTCCATGCACTTCAACATGTTTTCCTATCTGACGGAAGAGCTCCCTGCCCTCATTGAATCGGTGCGAAGAAAGTTGTGTCGCTGTGCATGGATTGCGTGCGGCTCAACTGCGATTGTCTTCATGCATGTGTGTGTGTGTGTGTGTGTGTGTGTGTGTGTGTGTGTGTGTGTGTGTGTGTGTGTGTGTGTGGTACCAGCTGCAACATGATTTTGCCTTCATTCGCAGATTGGCCTTGCGCCTTCTCACATCCATCTGCGCGTACCTACCCCTCAGAGCTTTGATGTCACATCTGCCAAGAGCATCATGGGCCACGGCATGGGTGGACACGGTGTGTGTGCGTGTGTGTGTGTGTGTGTGTGTGTGTGTGTGTGTGTGTGTGTGTGCATGTGAATGTGAGCGGGCCGTATACGTGTGCATCGGTCACTGTTTTGCGCGGATGTCCAGGTTAACATTGCCGCGCTGCTTGATCACAGGTGCGCTCGTGTGTGCACTGAAGCGGCCCGAACTCTACGCCAGCGTGTCTGCTCTGGCTCCCATCTGTAACCCCAGGTTTGTTGAGCGAGCTGTCAGACCACTGCGTGAATGTGTGTGTGTGTGTGTGTTTGTGTGTAACGGAAGAGGTTCTGTTGCCGATCGACCCCGACCAATGCCCAAAGCATGCACACACACACCCGTCATACGCTATGCTGTTGTTGTGGTTTGTCCAGCTCACTGTTTTCCAACTTCCGTCCCGCTTTCCCATCGCTCGTGCGCCACTTTGATCATAACAGCGACGTGGCAGTCGGCAAGCGCGTGTTTGCGCAATACTTTGGTGAAGATGACAAGTAAGCGCTGCACACACACGCACGCACATACACACACACGCACGCGCGCGCGCACGCACACACACACACGCACACACACACACACACACACACACACACACACACACACACACACACACACACACACACACACACACACACACACACACGTGCGCGCGCAGCCATCCCCAGTCAACCACACGGGCTCTTGCGGCTGGCGAAACACACACACACACACACACCATACATTCAACAGCACACCTGTTGCTCATCATCACGTCTACCACGCATGCGTGTATGCATGTGTGTGTGTGTGTTTGTACATTAGGGCCGCGTGGCACCAGTGGGATCCCGTGCATCTAGTGCAGGGCTACATCGGACCCGAATTGCCAATCCTCATCGACCAGGTTGACGATGCGTTCCTGGTCTTGTGTTGGTGTGTGCTCGTGTGTCTGTGTCTGTGTCTGTGTGTCTGTGTCTGTGTGTGTGTGTGGATGAGAAGGCTGCAACGTTGCCGAACTGACGCCTCTGCGTGCCTGCTTCTGTCTGCATGCGCGTGCCATTAGGGCTCGGATGATCTATTCTACAAAACCAAGCAGCTGAGGCCCGATGCGCTCGTCCGGGCCAGCGCAACAAACCCGCTCATCTCGGTTCGTGATGACGTGTGTGTGTGGTGGTGGTGGTGGTGGTGATGGTGGTGCGTGTCTGTCTGTGGTATCCTCTGTGTTTATTCATCTGTGCCTGTGTTTATACATCTGTGCCTGTGTTTATACATCTGTGAGTGTGTGCGTGAGGGTATACTTTCCGGCTGATGACATGCATCACACAACACCATCCACCACGCGTGCACACTGCAGGTGGTGTTGCGGGTGCAGGATGGGTATGAGCACAGCCACTTTTTTGTGCAGACGTTTATGGATGATCACATTATGCTTCACGCCAACACGCTGGTGCCGCCACCAGACGATGACGACGACGGCGACGACGAAGACCAGGGTGACCGGGGCGAGGGTGGCAGTGATTAGTCGTTGCAA